CTCACCAATTACAGCATGACAACACAGGGGGACCCCACCTAATTGCAAATAAATAAATATATACACATTTTAGTGGCCCATAATGTTTGTCTTTCTACAGATAAAAAAAAAAAAAAATCTTTTTTGAGTTAGTATAAAGTCCAGGAACATTATTACTAATTTACTACATTATTAATTTGATTTAATATACTACATTATTTCTCTCTCTCTCTCTCTATATATATATATATATATATATATATATATATATGAGGGTAGAGGGTACTTCAATGTGGAGTGGTGGTTAGCAAGTTTCTCTTGGTAGATCAATGACTGAAAATGAATTTAATTCTGTGTACTACATCTATGCTATGCTTTGAAAATCACCATATATACACAGAAATTTTCAAAACTGATATATTTATTCTATTCCAACATATTTTGCTAATGAATGGGAATCATCAAAATACTTTCCTTACAAAAACAATTGATACTGAGGTGGAGTGATTTCGAGAGATGTGTGAAATGTCTGCCAAGTTATGACAGTTGAACAGACTGATCCTTTTCTTTAAATTTCCCCAAAATTTTGGCTAGCACTTATATTCAAACATATCATTCCATTCTTATCTAAGGCTTGGTAAAGTTCTTGCATGTGATAATATTTATTTCTTTATCTTGAATATAACTATAATTAATATTTGAAACCATCTAAAAATTATTAATACTTGTTTGAAACAATTTATAAACCAAATTTATTACATTCTGCTCAGTACTAATATGACCTCATGTAATTCAGATTTACTGCTCATCTAAACATTTCCTATTGTTGGCATCACAACCTGAACTTGCTGTTACTGTTTTTGATTTATGATGACATCAGTACTTCCTGAAAAAGACACTCTTCAAGTTTCACCTCCTAAGTCCTGATGGTTTACAGCCACATCATGTTGAAATACTGGTTCTCATACAATCACCAAGTTAAGATATGTCAAGTCTGGTCAGTAGCTAGATGGGTGACTGCTTTGGTATATCAGGTGCAGTAAGATTGGATGTGCAGGTGGTGTTATGGATAATGGCATGAAATTTTTAATTGGAGAGCTGAGTTCCAATTTCTTTTGGGGTTAATTATATTCACTTATGTTCAAATGCACTTGGGAAAGGCATGAATCCACCTCTTCTCACTCCAACTATAGGTTAATTAATAAGATTTGTATCACTAAACTATTATTATTTTCAAAAATTTTGGAAATGACCATATAATCATTACTATCAACTTTTATTTACATTGGCTTCACTTATATTTCACTTGCTTTTAATTCAGTGTTTCTGTTTCCTTTGTTCTACAACTTATACTAATTTTTAGTGATAGAATGAAATAGATGTGTGAACCTAAACTACCCACCTGTGATCTGCCAAAATTACTCATCTCAAATTTCACAATGATGCAAAATTAATGATCTGTTATTAAATACAGCTTTAAGTTTTAGTTTGAAGCAAAGTTTATTATAGAAACAGCAAATGCAGCAAAAATGGTAACACAACTGGAATTACCATTTATGAAGTTGTTATTTTCTTTAGTCTGCAGAAAGGCAGCAGGAACCACATAAAATGTGGTAATCTTTTTTTCCTTAAAGTGTTCAGCAATGTAAACAAAGTACAACAATTTCAGAAAGCAATTCAACCAAATATTCTTCAGCCCACCAAAAATAAAGTTTTTATTCTCTACACTTGAATAAACCTTCCTTAGAAAAAGAAAGTGTGGGAGTAAGATGATAAATACATAGAGAGACCATACACACAGGAAGTGCTACAGAATGGTTAACATATGTGAAGGAAATAAGATTGAATTCCAATCTCAGAAGACAAAAACACATTTGGCAAAATTATGAACTCAAAATCTCTGGGTTAATGTCTATTTTTTGGAAACCATATGTAAAATTTAGACAGGACAATTTTTCTTTTACTAAAACAAAAAAAAAAAATAATACCCCCCAGCGCAAGATTTAATCAGTTATCACAAAAGTATAATTGTTCCCTTAAAGGAATTAATTTATAAGTGTTCAGCAGCAAAACAAGAAAGAAAAGGACATACTAATTGCTTTGGTTCTTCTAATACCATTCTCAACTACTTCAGGAAGAAAAAATATTAAGATATACCACTGTTATTTTGTTTCTCCAGCAGCTTTCAAAACAATTTTATTTATGCTCACAAAACAACAACAAAAAAATGAATAAATAAAAAGCCTATAACACCTGTTTATGATATATCAGAAGACAAAAAGCTTTTCTTTCCTTTTAAATTCTGCTGCTTTTAATAAAAATTGTCAGCCATTGTATATTTGGTTAGAAAAGTAATATGCTTACTACTCAAAATGTCTTTACATCTCTCCATATATGGAAAGAATAATTTTTTTTATTTAATAATCCTTGTTTCAGAAAATAATTGCCCAAACAAACCTGTGTTTATATTTTAGAGTAACTTTTATTAGAAATAAATAACATTGAAGTATTTCTTAATATCAACTGGTTTTTGTGCTATATGACTCTATTTGAAAATAATTTTTAATACAACATACACTGATTAGAATACAGTAGATCATTGCACGAAATCATTTTCTGTCTAGAATTTTGATTAAATTCAATAATTTTTTGGAAGAAAACTGGAATATGAATATGGAATTCTGATAAATGAATTCAATTTATTTTTTAATAATTGAAAATTCATATTAAAAGTCAAAACAATGAAAATTACTTTTTCTATTGAACCATCTTATTTCATTTACAGTTATAAGAATTAATTTCTGTTAATGTAACTTATCAGGTAGACTGTAAATATTAGTCATTATAATTTCATCAGTTTTCAACTCTGTATCTATACTGTTGGCGACTATTTACTCCTGTTTTAATAGTTAATCTGATTGGTTTGATAAGGTCAAATTGGCAGCTGATCTAAAAAAATAACCTACAATCTGTTGTTAACTGGGACAAGAAGTGGCTTGTTAATTTTAACTCCTCTAAAATGAAACTGCTCTCATTTAACTGTATATGAGAATTTTTTTTTCTTCCCATCAAACTTCCAGGAGAGTAACTCTTTGCACCTGTTTAGGCTAACATTTTCCACTGATATGAAGTGGAAAGATTATATTATTTTCTAGGTCTGCTATTAGGAAAGTTAGTTCACTGTGTTGTACAAGACAATTTTTCTCATCTGAATCTACCTTACACACTTATTCTCCCATGCATTGAATCTTCCTGTCACATCTGATCTGGTGCTTCTGCTATGTATTTAGAGATTCTTGATAAAATACAAAGAAGAATCTGCAATGTTATTGATCCTGACCTGGCATTTCAGCTTCACTTACTTCCCCCATCACTGTAATGTAACTTCCTTGTGCCTTTTCTATAAATATTTTCATGGTAATTTTTCTGATGACCTTTCCTCTTTGGTACCTAGACTTTATGAATTTAAGTGTACTACTAAATTGGCAGCATGGTCTCATCATTTTACAGTTGAAATTGCTAAGTGTAACTGTAAGTTCTATGCTAAAAGTTTCTTCCCTTGCACTTCTTGCTTGTGGAACTTTCTTCTGGTTTCTTACATTCCAGTCAACTTTGATTTTCAGAAATTTAAATGCAATGTCAATAGTTATTTTTCTCTTTTTAATTTCCATTCTTTTAATGTTTTCACTCCTTAATAGTATTTTCTTTTTCTCATATTCTCTCATACTTAGTAAACCCTCGAGTTTTAGTGCCTTGGGGCAAAATGATTTAAAAAAAAAAAAAAAATTGGCTGACCAAGAAGTTTAAGCAAAATTTCCAAAATTATTAGAAGAGAATATATTCACTATAACTATAGATTACTAGAGGTTATGGTTATAGAATACCCAGTGAAGAATAAACTCATTTGAAGTAGTTGCAAGGTCATACAGACACCTATTTGATTTAGTTCAAGTAAAAGCTATTAATTAATATTTATCAGGGAAAAAGAAAAAATTGCAGTAATTTAAATAAGAGAAGAAATATTAAAATAGAAAATTCATTTGACTATTTTTCATTATTCCTTATTACAGATTATAACAAAATAAATTAGCCTTCTTATAAAATAGATAAACAGGTTTAAGTGATTTGCAGGGCCATCAAGATAAATATAAAAATACATTGTAGATTTTTTTTTAAGTGAGAGGTATATTTTCCTGAATACAATTAGACATGACTTGAGCTACTTTCAATCACCATTGTATGTGTTCCTTTTTCATTATGCATTAACCTGAAAATCATATCAAATTCAAATTTCTACAAGCTATATGCTCTTGATTTAAAAAAAAAAAAAAAAAAAAAAATGGCATCAATCATTGTTGAAACTTAGATTAACACTGGATTGTAGTCAAGGAAAATGTGGCAATGAAAAATTGAATATAAAATTAATATTTCAGTTTATTACTATTGCAGTTTACCATCTTTGTACTGATTTTGATTATATAATCTTGGATTTTTATCTATGCAATTAACTCTATTGTAAGGAAGAATTTTTCTTTTTTTCTATTTTTTTTAAGCAGTTAAAAGTAAAAATACCTAAAAGACATAAAATGCAAGCAATAAAAAACAATTTATTAACAAACTCATGTCATTATCTAAAAATAAGATATTCCATTGTTACGGTAACATGAGGTATGTTTTTTTTGGTTATTGGTTTTGTTGTTTGTTATAAAAACAGAATGTCTCATTACTTAGTAGGAAAGATGAGATCGACTTATTTGTGGAAGAGTTAGGGTTTTTTTAAAATTTTATGTTCTACCTAGTTCTCAATTTGAAGCTGGAAGCATTCTGTGTCTAGTTAACAAGTGTCACTTCTAAGAACACTTTTTCTTATTTCCTGGATTTATATTTGCTAGAGAAAAAATTTATTCCTATACATAAAAAATAAATGTATTCTAAACAAATCTATAGGCATTTAAAGGAAATTATATATTACATGCACAACATATTATAAACTAATACAAAATATTTTTTAATTTACTGACCTTTGATCTGTGGACATCCCCATCATCAGTTTCTCCAACTCCAAGAAGTTTTCTGGATTTCAAACGACTGTGTAAGTCTCCACTACTGTGCTTCCTGTAATGGATAAAAAATAAAAAATAAAGTAAAAAAATTGGCATTTTTATTAATTTTTCTGTAAATAAAATACATAAAATCAGGAAAAATGATTTGCAATGACACTTTGCTTCAACTCTTAAAAACCCTGGCTGCCCACTCAGTGTTCAATGAATAAACATTAATTATAACTTTGCTTTGGTTTAATCATGAATTTGTTTCTTTTTTAAATATGCTTTTGAAAAAAAAAAAAAGTTTTTTTTTCCTTAAATCTTATTTCAATAGCGATGACCATTTGCAAGCCACCCGCATTAAAATTTGAAAGAAATATTACCCTTTAACTAAATTGGTTCATGTTGAATTCCTGAAGCTAATAGTCAATGAAATGACAGGTTTCAGATTTCTAATAAAACTTGAGTAAAATTTAGATTGAATCTAACATTTTTTCAAAAGAGAAATAATTGAAATTTGTTATTGAATGTCTACGAGTAAGTGAGACACAGATGGTATATACTTACTAGATTTGCTAGTCTTTAGAATATTTTCCTCCTAAATCTGCTCTAATATTTATATGTTCAAAGCACTGGTATTATGCAAAGAAATCTAAAAACTGAAGACTTTAAGGAGATTGGGATAAGTTAGGGCAAACAGTAGTTAAAACAAAAACAATCTCTCTTATAGGTTCTTCACAACTTTCTATCCATTGTAGCTCTTAATAATGTTTGTCATATCTCCCATCCCCTTGTTCCACCATTCATTCATACAGACTAATCAGGTAAGTGTCATGTTGCCCTCCTCTGTTTCTTTTGTCTTTAATATATCCTATGAGTGGTTTGGTGTGGCTTATAAAACAAGTCAGTTTTATTACAAGACATCTTTAAGATCAATAAAAATAGAAGATAAAATAAAAGCAATGTATCGCAAATTAAAATATTAAGGGAATAAAATGTGCTTTGGCATAAAACAAAAGTAAAAATTAAAGGCAACAATGAATACAGTTCTAACTGAAATGATTATTAGAAAGAGAATTTAAAAATGAAACAACTCAAATAAGTGAAAATTTAAATATTAACAAATTATACAAATTAAAGTTGAATAAATTTTCACTTAGTACAAAATAATGTCTGGCTGCCTGTTTTCAATTATGCCGAGTCAGCTCAGGCATATTTATGTTTGTTCAACACCCAAAGAGCCAACCTATTTTTTATACTGTGACTATGCTGAGCAGGCCTTAGTTACAGTTTATGAGAGAAAGTGCATAATCTGGCAATTTGAATAAGATCAGTACACTCAAGCTCTCAGTTATGATGACTTGTGACTTTGTTCTGGCACAACCATCAATGAACAGTTCTTGTTGCATCATACCTACGGATGATAATGGATATGTCCCCATTCACATAAATGTAGTAGGAAATAATGTATGTTGGAGTTGGAGATTCGTTTCCAGCTGTGCTGGTCAAACTCTCTGCCTCCAGGGCAGAGAGGATCCCCAAATGAGGCTATGTCGAAGGACAGTGTCTCATCTTGAGAAAAAGCTACCCAACCCTGTTTTATATGGGGTATATGGGGAATTTTTGGCTGAGCCTAAGGGCTCAGATACTCCACATTAAATTCCCCCTTGTGCCACATCTGACCACATTGAATGGTTGGTAGATATCCTGCAGTTGGAGATTCATTGTGGAATTCACTTGACTGACTTGTAGCAGTTGACCACTTCTTCTACGCACTGCTGGCGAATCTTATATGTGTTGTTCTTGTCCTTAGTATTATTGTTTATTAGTAACCTTCCTTCAGTTAACCCATAGTGTTTACTTATTTTTTTAAGGCACTTTCCAAAGGTGCCATACACTGGAATTATCATGAAGTCACCTTCTTGACTATGGTGAGATGTCTTATGGACAGAAAATGAGCATTGGAACCACTTAGCCACACACCCAATTTCCCAAATGTAAAGCCATTAATAATATATTTAACAGTGAATTTAATGTTTGCACTTAATATTATATAATTATTGTTTAACTAAAAATTATTTTATTAATATACAACTTGGAAATATGATATTATTGTTTGAAGTTATTATCAAAAATAAAAAAGGAAAATATTAGCTGTTTAATAAAACACTGAAAACTATTGTCATTACAAAATTTTAGCATTACAAGAAATTTGAGTTAAAAATTCTTAATTGTACATCAGGCTCTTATATATTTGAATCAGTTCATTTTCAATTCAAATAACTGGATGGCTTAAAGTTAAAATAAAAAAATAATATATTACCAATTTTAGAAAATAAGTGTGGTTTTAAAAAGAAATTTGACAACAAGTAAGATTATAATGCAATCATTTAATTGACATTTGCTAAAAGATTTCCAATGACAAAATTGATAAAATTACTCTTGTCTAAAAAACTAACAAAAGTCATTTCATTTCTTATATTTTTACTGAAGGCAATTATCTAAAAATGAACATCTAGCATGAAATTAAAATCAGATTTTTATTTCTTAGGAGAAATTACATTAAATTTTAACTCTTAGAAAAATAAAAATGCAAATTAAATTTTTGTGAGAATGGGAATCGTAGCAAACACATTCAAATGCAGTTATAAATTTGACAGTTAAAACTATGTAGAGTCAGAATAATTTCCTCATAAAATTTACAAACTCTGCTATTTATAAATTTCCACCATTTTGAATACAGGCAAATACATTTAAGAGTAAAAGATAAAAGTAACTTTTAGAAATATACTTAGAATTTGTAATTTAGTATTTATTCACATAAATCCTAGCAAAATAACAAGGATACTTTCCTATTTATTCATGAAATATTGTCCTTGTTACAAGTAGTAGCAAGAAAAAAAAAGAATTCCTATTTCATAGCAGGTGAAAATGTGACTTTTTAAATCTTTTGTACTTTACAATAGCTTAACTATATTTTAGGAGTTCAATCGAAATATGAAATTGGTTTCTTTTATGAGATTACTTTAACCTACTCCCACTCCTAGAGTGGATATTAAAATATCATCCCTCCTTAAGTTTTGGCAATTGAACATCCTTCTCTACAAGCAATGTAAGGGGGCAAAAGCACTTTATTTTATGGATAGTTTAAAAAATATATGGTTAACTCATAAATGCATATATTTTTAAATATATTATCACCAATTTTGGTTTAACATTTCCAAGCATACCTGTAAGGACATTTTGCATGTTGGATCCAATTCAATGTTTCATTACATTTGAGACATTTAGCCTTGGACTTCAAAAGGCTGTTTTGTTGTAAGCAGTAAAGTAGCTGGCAACAGGTCCCCCTCAAGCAGAGGATAAATCATGCCTTGGAATGTGCTGACAGCTGTTGGCTATCCTCACTTAGTTTAGGCAATTAAATACTCCCACCTAAGCCAGAATGCTAAAATATTCTCCTTTGTGGGGATGAATTTATTTCAAAATCTCTTTGTAGATACCTAGAAATGCCTACTAAATCAATGGATTAAATTAAACTGAAATCTGCAGAAATTGTTTAAATCCTGTTTGCTCTTTTATTAAAACACCCATAATTATCTTATTCTGTAAACAAGTACAGGAAATTTAACCATATTTCTTTAATTATTCCAGCTTCTATTTATTAACTTTTTTCTTAAATTTTTAACTGGTATCAACTGAGCATAAAAATAAAAGGCAAACAATCATATAGGTGTTCTTATAGCTCCACAGTTAAAAAAAAAATTGGAAATCACTGGTGGTTCCTAACAGCTTACAAAACAAAACAATACATCTACTTTTTACTTGACTGTAACTGAATGCATATCATATTGGTAATTTGATTAAAAGTCACTAATGTTAGTGAAAAGGCTTACACACTTCAAACAGAAGAATAAATAAGAGACAATCTTGTATTCATGTAATTATCTAAATTCACATTGTCAATGCTGTTGGTATATTAGTTGTGCTGGCTGCAATACTGTTAGTAAAGCCAACAAAAGAAATGCAGTTTAAGAATAAGTTAACAAACACAGAAGATACATTACATTTGCTATATGATGATAAAGATATAATTGTGTACTTTCCACCAGCATGAAGCCTAGGTAAAGCCAAGATGTTGAATGTTGGTTATCAAAGTGAATGGGAAGACTGGTAGAAGAAAATTTTCTACCCATATTTACTCTAATTTGTTGGACTAAAAGAAAAAATTCTCTTTATTAAAATACTTAATTGATAAAAAACTTAACAGTTTGTTTTTTTTTTTGTTTTTGTTTTTTTCACAAGATTGTCAATATAGCTTATTTTAAAATTATAAAAAAAAAAATCATTATTTACATTCAGACTATTGACCTCATCTTTGTTGTTATTGTTGAATTTCAGCTGTTGTGTCCTCCAGCATTCTTCCACTGTCTGTTGATCCTGGTAAACCTTGAAAGAATTTTGAACTGAATCCTTTATACAATCTATAGAAGTAGATTGTTCTCTTTATCAATAAGGAAAGATTCATCATTATCAGCAGCAGCAAGAAAACAGAAGCTATTGTGAATGCAGTCAAGGATGACAGCAGCAAACAAGAAAGAAGACTAGAAATTCTTATAATCAGGATTACATCACAGCACAGTAGCCTAGTGGATTAAAGCATTATAATGGGTAATAACATAACAGTACTAAATTAAGAACAAGATGAGATATTCCAAGACATGGACGATTTACAATATAGATTAAATACAGGGTTCAGTTTAAAATTCCCTGAAGGTTAAATGGATTGACAGACATCTGAAGAAGGCCAGAGGCTACAACAAATGTTGTAATAATAACAACAACAAAGATGAGAATAATAATCTAAATGTAATTAACAATAACTCCTCATCCCAGAAATTCAGACAGAAAAAAAAAAAAAAACTTTTTCAATTATTATTTAATCAAATTTTTTCATTATACTATTAAAGCAAATAATAAAAATCCCTTTAATACATGAATTTAACATTTGATAGTTTTTGAAGTTGAAACTGTAAGAAATATAAACTTTACATTCAGGGACAATGTTGA